CGACGCGACGGGTAGCCCTCTCTCGGCACACATGCGATGGTCCTCTAGAAACACACGAATGCGAGAGCTGGATGAGAGAGGTGAGATAATTCCTAAAAAGACTACCATCACTCTACAAGTGGTGTAGCAATGTTTTCCTTTTTAGCATACCGCTGCCGAAGCCGGCATACTGGAAGACGTCTCCAACGTCTATCTGGGTGGTCGATTATGTGCAGCTCGACAGCCGAAGAACGTCATCGAACCACAAGATATCGGTTCCTATTACTATCGACATTGCTTCGCAGGACGAGGTTCGTTATTGAGAAAGCAAAAAATAAACAACAATTTCCAACGAAAAAAAACTCAGAAAACCTGAATTTTGTAGTCACTCACTGTTTTAAGAAAAAAATTCGAGTGGACGTTAAAGGCAAACCCCGCGATCATTCGCCAGCACAGTTAGTGGCGACCAGGGGGTTTCCATATAGGCGATAAGGTTTTGAATAACTCGATAGTGGTGTAAAGAAATAGCCGACTGTCCTAAATAGATCCCCATTCAGATCCCAATTTGTACTTGCCCACTTGACTCCATCTTCAACACTACGCCCTCATCCGCACAGCTGATTCCCGATAAGAACTCTGCGACCGTACAAGTGACGATTTTCATGCTTTTTCGTCCTGCAGCTTCGTTTTTCACTGAAAGGCGGGCCTTCGAAGGCGGAGTCTGGAGGCGGAGTCACTGGAGAAAAGGAGGCGTGAACCTATACTGCGCTATAACGCCCCTCCCTTACAACTTTTTACCGCGAAACTGGTACAAGGTTGTTCGTCGCGGAACATACTACCCTCCGACCATATTTTCAACTTCCATTCCTGACCGCGGGCTGTACCTTTCAATAAGCCACTACGATTCTGAATAGAAGTAGAATGCGTGCCGCATCCCAAAAACGGATTGATGAACGGCAAACACTCTATCCTTTTCATTTTATTACCTCCGAAAATGAGGAAAGTGTGAAGGGCGTAGATAAAAGCGTTAATTGGTGGGAACACTGCCCTCACTGAGTTCCATTCCTTGCCCTTCAAGAATCCTCTCGTTTGCAGAAAAAATGACTGTAGAACCGCTCCTGACTTATATGGGGCAACTTCTACGGAACTGATTCCTTCGGCTTCTGACGATCGTTGTGCTCCTGTCGAGCTGCGAAAAGTCCTTCGAGATCGCAAGGACGTCAAACCCCCATTCGATAGTCGTAGAATGTGTCCTCAAGAGTGTTAGGAACATAAGTTGTATCGACCCCTTCAAAGAGTCTTATTATTATTGTTATTATTTTGGAAAAGATTCTAAGAATAATCTTTGAAAGAGCAATCGTGGATGTCTAAGTTCATATAGAAAAAAGGGCAGCTGGAGAAAACCCTCAAAAATGCCATCATGGTTGCCATTAGCCCCCCTCCCCAAAAAGAAGGGCTTCCTCTCCGAGCGGATAGATCATATCATCTCATAACAACGCATCTTTACCCCGTCCATTCTCTGCCACTAGACAGTACTCAAAAGTAACTATCAAGGCCTTACTCATTATTTTCTCAGTGACATTTATGGATTTTGTAACAGTAGTGTTCCTGTATATTAGTTCAGGTCACTGGGCTATGATATTTGTCTCCGAGCCGTGCAATTTTTTATGGCCTTGCGTGTAGATTACACAGAATTTCGGCGGTGACATAACTCGATGAGTAATTGCATCCGACAGCGAATTGAATAGCTTCGCGTAGTAGTGGGCCGTGAATATCCACTGAGGGAGTCCAAGATCACCCCTCAACTAGTCCAAAAATGTCTCAAAAGTCCGTGACATTTTTTCAAATCTCTCGACAGATTTTCTGTTGCGACTGCTCGGTCGTATGCCCCATGCGGAGTCAGGGTACAGCATCGTTATGTGAAACAAATAGGGGAGGTCGTACTTTTCTGCTGAGAAGGGGGGTCGTATTTGGTTGGGAGAGGGAGGATCCATATGTGCCTTTGAGAGAATTTGCCGTGTTGGGGAAAAATAAGAAAATTTATCCTCCCAGTTGTTGACTTTTCGTGAGTCCGCTCTGAAGCAAAATTTCGGGGAATCGGCAAAAGATGATAGGAAATCGGGGATAATCCAAGAAATTTTCCGTTTTATATTGGTTACATGCTACCCCCCCACAGCCTCCGCTCGGCGGAAAATTCTTGAGTGAAGAACTGGAAAACGTGATAAATTGGGAGGTCGTCGGTGTTGGGAAAGGGAGGGGGTCGTACCGGGCCCTCATTTTGGTGGGGAGGAGGTCGTACAGTTTCACACATCACGATGCTGTCCTGTGTGGAGAGTAGTATATCACCCATATGTTCTGTGCTCCCGTTGGTCGTCTTATTGCTAATACGAGTTCTAGTAACGTCTCGGTTCCTGTGCGGAGTACGGGGGGAGGGCCAAAAAAAGTCACTTTTCTTCATTGTAGCGCTATAAGTTACACTTTATAAATTCTAATCGGACATTTCTACCACCATATTAAAGAGCATATTAAATACTATTATAACACTCCGCCACAGCCTTCTGGACGAGCGCCATCTGGCACGCGACCGCGATGTGGTGCCTGAGATCAGCGAGATAGTCGATTTCTCCGCCACCGTAGACCACCCTATTGAACTCCGCCCGAACCGGGTAATTGAGGGGATTCAGGTCAGGTGACCTACTTGGATATTTTTAGGTACTCAGCCCCCTTCCATTCCAAGTAGGCGAGAGTTTTCTCCAATATAGTTCTTATATTTCTTCTAGCCTTCCAAGATCGAATAACTTTATTGAAGGCCTACGTTTCGGCGTCTTCGCCTTCGTCAGAGCCTGAAATGGTCAAAAAACATCTAGAGACCTGCTCGCTCAAACATTTCAACAATACTCAAGACGATTTCCATATACCAGTAAACCACCCAACGGTATCGATCGAAGGCGGAACTCTGGCTTACCTTGATCTTAGCCGCGTGACGCGGGACGACCACCCTGTAGAGGCTCAGAGTTTCTCCAACGCCCTTATTCCACGTGGTGGCACCCAATGCTGTAGCAGTACAAAGTTTCCAAGAAGGTAGGGGCGGCGACATGTGGGGAGGATATTCTTCTCGAGTTGCTCGATGTAACCGCCAGCGCTCACCTTCAGTCCGGGGTCCAAATATTGGTCTTTCCATTCCAGGTACGTCCGGTCCATACCATCAACCGCTCCTTGCGACTGCGGTGAAGATGATGTCCTAGACCGTAGCGACGTTGTCGGAGCTGCTCGATGTTGGAGGTCTTCCAGATTGAGAGTACTGGTCTCCAGGTAGCTACCCATGGGTGACTCCACACTAGAAGTTTCGCAGCTGTTTGGAGGTGACATGAATTCCAAAGGTCTTCTCCAGTCAGGCTGCGACTGGAGATGACTTCATATTTTGGTGTACATGAAGGTGATGGGCGAGGGCCAGCTCCTGCTTATCGAGGAACATCTTGGGTATCTTCCGCCCTGGTACTCGTATCCACGTCTTCTGTCTGGGCTGCGAAAACTTTGCTGATATGTGACTCGGTCGAAGTGACTTTTTTTGCCCCCCCCCCCTGTATACAGACGTGCCGTAAGCAGCTTCTCTAAATCGACCTTTCCGTTTTCTCTACTTTTTTTGAATACGGTAGATGGAATGAAGTACACTCTTCATCCTTTCCCCATACGTATATGTACTATGTCTCAGCGTGGTCGACGCACCACCACCAGCTACATTTGCTCTGAGCTATCTTACATAGATATCGGAATGGTAACTTACCCACTTGAGTGACTTCTACCTGGGAGACAAGCCCGTCCAGGAGGCCATCTGCCTTTGTTTTTGATCGACTTGATTGGACCCAATTCGTACGCGTCAACTCGCTCTGTGACCACTGCGCTTGCACGTCTCCAGAACAGAGAAATCATTATTTTTTTTAGCTGTTTTGTTATGATAACTGCTGTTTAACGCCGCAGTACGCGTTCCGAATGTTATCACAAGAATGCTGAGTTGTGGGCAAAAGTCGTGCCCCAGGCGGGAGTCGAACCCGCACCTCACGCTCACCAAGTTAAACGTGTGAGTGCTGTAAGGCTACGGCATAAAAGCCGTTAAGCTGAGAGGGTAAAAGCGGCCCTGGTGGCGTAACGGATAGCGCACTCCCGGAAAGCGTGAGGTGCGGGTTCGACTCCCGCCTGGGGCACGACTTTTGCCCACAACTCAGCATTCTTGTAAAATCATTATTACTTCTGAAAATATTCAAGTTCATTCAAAGGGTTTCCCATGAGTTGACCTATTCTCAAAGGAGAACGCATGTAGATTGCTCTCTGCAGCTTCTTTCCGCTCCAGTCACATAAACTAGCTGAGCAACGTTTCCGCTGTAGATGAAAGAGATGTCACTACGTGAACTACTCCGATGGAGCGCCGGTCTCTGAATCTATCAGAAGGTCAGGGTGATTGCATCTGATCAACCTAGCAGAAGAACGGTGATGCTGTGCGGGAGTTTAGCGCCGTGAACTCCCAACTTCCAGCGCTGTGTTTAGCGATGAGACCTACAGTAATCAATAGAAAAGAGAGGGGAAAAAGTTAGTATACTTCATAGTTATTAAGCTCCTTCTTCACATACAGAACTTTTGAAACGCTCCTAGCCCATTTCACAAAAATTCTAACTGCAAGCTGAAAATTATGGACTCAAACAATACTCACTGAACCAGCTAAATCCCTTCACAAATCGTAGAAAAAGCGTTATGCGGGAGCACATACCGTGTTCAGCGAAAGTGAACTTCTGAAATCCCTGGACAATTTACAATTCAGTCTAAAGCGGATATATTCGACCAAATGGCCCCTCCCTCTTTTCCCTTCATATACAGAGCTCTCTTATGGTTGATAGTTCTTCTTCTTCGAAAAAATCAGAACAGAACTCAAATACTTCTTTTTTCGTCAAATACTTACGAATACTTCTTTTTCAGCTCATGTAGAATATTTTGGAGTCGATGAGGAACTGGGTCCAATAGCGGTTAGTATGGTCCGTGAGACGACAGAGAGGAAGAGCGATCGCACTACATCAGCTATCTATCGGATGATCGTCAGAATAAGTGATGTAAGCTCTCTATGATACTAGATCCTGCTGATGCCCAATGTCAAATTGTTACGAGAATTCTCTACGGTTTCAGTTGCGAACAATGCGTGTAGCCGTACCAGAAGAAGCGCTTTCTGATGGCGGTGATCGTTCGACGCGACCACTTATGAGGGAACTCATGGAGATGGTTGGTCATTCTTTCTTTTCTCTTTGAATTCGATCCAATGTGGTAATAATTCCGCCGCTTTCAGATCTGTCCACGGGTGAGCTTTGGCTGTATGCGGCCATCATTACAGACTCCTCGAGTTGAGGAGATGTTGATGAAAATGGACGAGCAGCCAATTTACACCCGGTACAAAGTCGGCATAATGTTATGCCGTGCCGGTCAAAGTACCGAAGAACATATGTATAATAATGGTGAGTGGACCGTCTCAATGTCTTTTTTTCACATTTTTTCTGAGCATCTGTCTCTAAATTTAATATTAAGGGGGGGGGGATTATTTGTGTTGATCGGTCCCGTGCGAAAAGGAGAATAAAATTACTATCCGGACCCATACCCTTGTTTCAATTTAATTTCATTAATCGCTTATTTTTGAAAAATCGTCAATACCACTTAGCCCTAGAAATTACGACAACCTACATGACTTACATTATGTTATTCAGTAATGGGCACTGATAATCTTGAACGGGAGCCTTTTAAAGGACGCAAGAAGGGATCAATCTCGTTTGCTGCGGATGATGAGGAGTTTTGAGGGGTTTGGGCTTGACGCAGTGCCGGCCACTTTTTTATCATTTTTGCTTTGGCAAGCAATAGAGTGTATCACATTGTCGTTTCCCACCAGTAGTTGTCGCTTACCTGACGCGCGCTCCAAACCCTGCTCCATCTACTGCCCGTCATCTGCAGCGAACAAGACTATATCATCATCCGAACAGATCTATTGTACTTTTTCTTACTTTACCCGACCCAGAGCCCCTTCCCCATTTAGGCCTGAGCGAACGTTATCATTCTCGTCATGGTTCCTCTACTTTTGCCCATGAACGCCTCAAATGTTATTAGCGCTTGAAATTATTATTGTTATGGTATGCTATCTGTCAACTCGTTCGCTGCGGTCAACTTCTGCCTTACAGTAATGCTTGAACGTAAAGAAATAAGGGTTCGAGGTTCCAATGCGATCACGCAGCTCCCACGCGCTGCCAAATTATGTCCTTTCAGAAGCGGGAGTAAAAGCGATTAGTACCTCGTGAAAATCACTGCGAACGGGTTTTCTATGTGAACATAGCAATTGCATTCAAAAAGTCTGTCGTAGTACCTCCAAGCTTATAAAGAGTCAAGCACAGAAGGCCCTCCGGCTTCCTGCCCTCCTTCAACCAACTATTTCAATTTCCTCTGAACTTTCTGGGTTCCACAAAAGCAGAACCAGGCAAGAAGGGGAATACAGGCAGGGTAACAATTGCGCTAGTTTGTGATAACTCAGGCTTTTCTCGAGTTTTTCTCCTGTTGCTATGTTGGCCATATTTCACGACTACATACAGCTGAATGTATCAGCTTCCAAACGATATGGGAAGGCACGGCTCTAGCTTCTTTGCTTTCGTTTTATTCTTCTACACGTCTCTACGTCAAAAAATGACGAAATATTCGATTTCAGAACATTCCTCCAGCGCATTCGATGAGTTTTTGGATTTTATTGGGCAACGAGTTCGTCTCAAAGGATGGGATCAGTACAAGGTGCGGTTCTTGTCGATTTTTGTGATTTGATTTTTTGAAAACCTTCATCTAATTTGAGTATATTTAGGGTGGTCTCGATACGCGTGGCGACACTACCGGTACACATTCGATCTACTGCGAGTATCAGGCCCATGAGGTCATGTTCCATGTATCTACATTATTACCATTCACTCCTAGTAATCGGCAGCAGGTACTTTTTTTTATCAAACTTGCTTCACTGCAGCGGAACCGAAGTTCTTCGCCCATGGAATGCGCCACACATTCGATTGCCGTTGAACATTGAGAGAACTGGGTGAAGCAAGTTTGATAAAAAAAAGTACCTGCTGCCGATTACTAGGAGTGAATGGTAATAATGTAGATACATGGAACATGACCTCATGGGCCTGATACTCGCAGTAGAT